TCCAAAAAGAAGCACAACCCTGCTGTTTTAGACTGTTGCTATAACTGACTCAAAAGTATGGTTTCCAGAGGCAACATGTGGAAATGCTTAGAGCCCAGGTGTTAGACTGGGCCGTAGTGCCAAGGCTGCTTATTATGAAAAATTGGATGTTTTGGGCCAGCAGATGGTGTAGCAGTAATGTCACTGGACTCCCCACATGGCCAACCATAGTTCAAGTCCTGGACCCGGTGGCTTGAAATACACATGCTGGACACATGTGTGTACAGGTCCAAGATCCAGAGAGGAGAACAGAGGAGAAGAGAGTGCAGCGTGGCCACCCCTGGGGGGTGATTTTTCACTTTCTCTCTTACTGTCTCCATCTCTCTCTCTGTGTCTCTCTGTCTTTCTCTCTTCTGTCAAGCACATTTGTCCTAAGACAAAAACCTCTAAAACAAACTAGATAAGCTTACTAAGGCAGATCTCTGTTTGTGTGTTTGCTACCATAAAAATAAAATCAATATTGCTTTCTTTAGGGAGTATTTAATGAGTATAATAAATGTTAGTAATTACTATTAGCTCTTATTCCCTGGTTTCCCCTGAAATAGGAAGGAAGAAAAAAAAGTATCCTGCATTGCTTAACTGCCAAAATAGTTGAATAATTGTTTCAGAATGAAAAATTAGAAAGAAAATTAACCTATGTTACCTCCAGAAAATTGGTGTTGGTTACTGATAAGCACAGATGCACCTGGAAATTCCAAACATTTCCAGATAAAGGAAATAGCCTTCCTTCACACTTGTTGGTGCCATGAATAAAAGATAAGTGAATGAGGAAAAGATGGTTTAGAAACCGAAATGTTTACATAAGAAAACTGGGAACCTAATCTGAGACCTAGAAGAAAGATCTCCAAGCTCTAGATTCCATGAGTACTTGCCAGGATGATGGACTTGTTTTATATCTGCACCTTTCATCACAATAGCCACCAGCCATGTGACCATTGAGCACCTGCAATGTAGCTAATGCAACCGAGGAACTAAATTTTAGATTTTAGTTAATACTACTTGCTGTAAATTTAAAGTGGCTACCATATTGGACTGCATGGCTCTAGAACAATGTTTTAAAGTGAACGGGTTTTTGAGTCAGACTGGCTTGCATTTGAAATCAACCCCAATTGTCGTGTGGCCTAGAGCAACATCTAAGACAATTATCTCCCCAAGCCTTCATCTATTAAAAAAAAAGAATCATGTAAATCACTGTAAAGTTATATGTCATTCAATATAATATAAACAAGATTATGATAATAATAAATTTAAAACTTTTTAAAAAGAAGAAGCATACTGCTTGCCTCATGGGTTGGCAGCATAGCAAAGACCTTAGCAGCATGCTACAGCACTCAATGAAAGCAATATTAAGTGAGGACAATGCAGCTCAACAGTAAGCAATACATGAATGAATGAATGACTCAGTGATAGCTGGCCATTTCCCATTGGCAAAGACTATAGGAACTCTCAAATCTTCAGCTAAGCATCCACTGGGTGCCAGTATTGTTTCACCCAGTGTGGTGTTGGTCATGAAGAGGTGGCAATTCTGCCTGGAAGTAGGACAACTCTATTAGTTGCAGTTTATTTTTAACACTGACTTCAACCTACTGCCTGAGCACTCTCCTACCAGATTGTTTATTGGTTTAGAGATGATTCAAAGCTGTACCAGCCAAAGGTTTCTATCTCTGCTACCAATGCCCTGGCTTGCGCAGTGCCTCACTCCAGCTAGGGTAGCACTCAAAGTCTACTTTCTCTAACATGAGCCACCAGTCAATCCCACATCAGGTATTGTTAATGACAGTGGCTAGCATTTGCTGAGCACCTACTATGGGTCAGGCAATGTGCAAAAAAGCTTCACATGCGTAGTCTCTTAGGCGCTTCACTATAGCTCTTGAAGCTGGTATCATTGTTCTGTGGGTGAAGAAACAGAGAGATCACTCCAGGCCTTGCAGCTATTATAGGGGCAGAGGCAGGATTTGAGTCCAGGTGTCTGACTTCAGAGTCAGGGTCCCCAAACACTCTACCGTTCTGCCCCCGATGAACATCCACCATGCACTAGTTCCCCAGAGGGGATGAGTTTAGACCCCCATGCCTAAGGAGCTGGAAGTGTGGATGACAGTTAGGACACGGATGCACAGCCCACATGGGATGCTATGGAAAGAGAGAGGGAGCAGTATGCCAGGGGACTTGTCACAGGCAGCTGAGCACACCGTCTCCTCTAACCGGAATGGCCATGGCTTGACCACTGTAAAGTCATCCACTCCAAATTCTACATGTCTGTAGAGATTTGCTGTGGCTAGTTCACAGAGTACCAAGCGTTCCTTCAATGACCACTGGGAAATCCCTCTGCACTCACTTTTCCCAAGGACACTTTCTGGGCAGCAGCTAGCAGCCCTGCAGTGTGGTGTCAGAGGCTGCTGAGAGCTGCCTGTGCCAGGTCAGTTACTTCAGTACAGAGGCTGTACCAGAAGACAGGACGCAGGGAGAGGCACACGCCAGGGCTTCGGCCCACACCACACAGCCCCAGGGCAATCTTATCAATCCTTGTCATTAGCACTTGCAGTTAGCACCTGAGTTGGGAACAGGACCTAAATTACCGTTCAACTCCTCTCCCTTTCTCCACTGGCTGAATGACAGAGTTTAAGAGGTTGCCTCTGTATCCCTTAGGGTCTGGCTTCCTTGCAAGAACTCCTTGAGTCTAGATATTGTAAATGACTCACATTTGTGTGTTTAGTGCTTAATGCAGGAGCTGGGCAAATATGTTTTAATTTAATTTAACCTTCACTATGAAGTCTGCTAGAACACCCTCTGCTCACCCCATTTTCTCCATAACCAACATGACTTCTCTCCTGAATGTGCCTGTTCCAAAAAGCTACAACCGGAGGAGCTTTGCTAAAATAGAAACAATGGCAACCAGATTTTGAAGGAAAGGTGACAATTAATTCTTCAGCTATTCGAGTGAACACTTGGCCTCGTTATCTCCCACTTTTTCATATGTAATACAGGGATAATGATGACACCTCACAGGATAGTGTGAGCATTAAATTAACTAATGTAGGCAAAGCACTTGGCAAAATGTCTGATTGACTATAAAAGCTCAACAAAGAGAAATTGGAACCAGAAGGTGCAGAGTGATAATGCAACTGGACTCACATGGGAAGGTACTCAGTTCATGTCCAGGACCTCCTTGTACACGCCGGGCATGTGTCCACGGTCTAGGAGGGCTGAGGCTAAGGGTCTACCATGACATGAGGACCCAATCGAGGGTGCCTATTTTTCTGTCTTTCTCTCAACCCAATACACAATCTCTTTTAAGTCTCTAGAAATCCCAGGAGGTAGGTATCATTATCCCCATGTTACACATGAAAAATAAATAAATAAGAGAACTGCAGCTAATAAACGAAAAATAAAGCCAAGATTCAAACTAAGATCTCAAGGACTTCAAACTCATGGTTTCTTTCACCTCATCATGAAGATTCTCATTAAGGACTACATGAAAATATCACTAGTTCAGAATCTTTAGAAAAGTTCTGTGTCAGGCAATGACAGCCCTCTTGTCTGTCTGTAGTGTGCAACTGTGTACATGGAGTGTGCAACAGTGGACTAGAAGGTGATGGAACCTGCGAGTGCTACTCTGGGTACACTGGCACCAACTGTGACAAGGGTAAGTATCGCTGTTTCCTTCATGCCACACCAGATCACATAGGCACAAGTGTATGCATTTCAATTTGATATTCGTTATGGGGCTCTGCATGAGTGAGGTACCAGCAAATGTTTTTCTGGAAAGAAAGCAAATATTAGAGAGAATAAGGGAAAAGGAGAAGAGAGGAGAGGAGAAGAGAGGAGAGGAGAAGGGAGG